TAATAACTTACTATAAATCTAACATTCCCTCCCTTAAACTATATGCAACAAGCATTTAGTTTACCACTGAAGCTTCAACCATTCCCAGCATCTTTCGAAGTTTCAGAAATTGTGCTAATTTGAGAGGTTTTGTCATGATATCTGCAACTTGTTCTTGATATTTACAGTAGCTCAACTCCGCAACATTATCTCTTGTCAAGTCTTTAAGGAAATGAAACCTTATGTCAATGTGCTTGCTTTTACCATAAAAAACTGGATTTTTTGACAGCTTTATAGTAGAGTTATTGTACACTGAATCAGAGTACTCTTCTCCTCTTTGTGACCAAGTTTCTCTAACACCCTTCTCATCCAAACACACTGACAAGCACATACTCCATCTCTGTAGTAGACAATGTCACAACAGGCTGTCTTTTAGAAGACCACGAAAATGCTCCTGAACCAAGTAAGAAAACAAATCCCGAAGTACTTCTCCGATCATCTAAGTCACCAGCAAAATCACTATCAGCATAAATCACCAAATCTGTGCAACCTTCCTTCTTGTAGAAAATTCCAAGCTCAATGGTACCTTTCAAATACCTTAGTATTCTTTTTGCTGCAAGCCAATGAGATTCAGCTGGACAAGACATGAATCTACTAATAAGACTCACACCATACATCAAATCAGGTCGTGTAGCAGTCAAGTACATTAGACTGCCAACAACTTGTTTGAACAAAGTTTCATCGAATTTGGTTCTAGCTTCATCTTTTGACAACTTTGTGCCTGAAACTATAGGATTCTTTACTGAATTACTCTCTTCCATTCCAAACCTTGATAAAATTTCACGAGCATACTTTCTTTGACAAATAAAAATTCCACGAGAACTCTGCAGCACCTCAATACCGAGAAAGTATCTCATCTTCCCCAAAACAGACATGTCAAATTCCATCATCATCGAATTCTTAAATTCTTCACACATACTCTTATCATTTCCGGTATATATTAAATCATCAACTTAAAGGCTTACTATTAGAATTTTACCTCTGTCTTTTGACTTTGTGAACAATGTGTGTTCACAAAAAACACCTTTCAAAGCCTTCTCGAACAAAGTAAGCCTCTATCTTGCTATACCATGCTCTTGGTGCTTGCTTCAAGCCATATAATGCCCTTCTTAACTTGTAGACTTTGCCTTCTTCCCCTTTCTTCTCATATCCCAACGGTTGTTGCACAAACACTTCTTCATTTAGTTCACCGTGAAGGAACGGACTTTTTACATCAAGCTGGAAAACATTCCAACTATTCTGAGCTGCCAAAGCGAGTATTAACCGAATAGTGTCAAGTCTGGCCACCGGAGCAAAAACTTCAGTATAATCAACTCCGTACTGTTGTGCATATCCCTTTGCCACTAGCCTTGCTTTGTATTTATCTATTTCACCATTCTCTTTAAGTTTAGTCTTGAAAACCCATTTAACTCCAATGGGATTTACTCTTTGGGGAAGAACTGTTAGTTCCCATGTCTTGTTCTTTTCAATTGAATTAATCTCTGCCGTCATTGCGTCCCTCCACTTCTTGCTCTTGACAGCCTCTTCAAATGTAAGTGGGTCATCTTCAGTGAGCATTATCATTGCATTCAGACCATATTCATCTGACAAACTTTCACCAGTTTCATAATCTTCCATCCAAAACAGTGGTTTTCTTACCCTCCATTCATTAGTAATTGGTGATTCATCCTCATGTGATTCACTAGATGATGAACCAGATTCACTTGAGTTTCTTGAATTAGCAACAGCAACAGCGTCATCGTCTTCATCTTCATTGCTCTCTACTGGTTCAATGTCATTCTCAAAATCATCTTTACACTCTAAGACATCCATCTTGCATTCATCTTTGCTTCTGTCCCAATTCCAGCATTCATCTTCCTTAAAAACCACATTCTTGCTAATGATTATCTTCTTCGAAACTGGATCATATAATCTATAGGCCTTTGATTCATCACTTACTCCCAACAAAACACATTTCTTACTCTTGTCATCTAGTTTACTTCTTTTTTGGTCTGGAACATGTGCATGAGCTACACCCCCAAACACTCGAAAGTAACCAATTGTTGGCTTCACCCCACTCCATGCCTTTTCTCGAGTTTTGTTTTGCACTGCCACAGTAGGACATCTATTGAGGATATGCACACTCCATTTTACAGCCTCCGGCCATAACATTTTAGGAAGTTGTTTCTCTGCTAACATAGAGTGCACCATGTTAATGATCGTCCTATTTTTTCTCTCAGAAACTCCGATTTACTGAGGAGTATAGGTTGTTGTCAGTTGTCAGGATATGCCTTGAACTTTGCAAAATTCTTCAAACTCATTTGAGGTAAATTCACCACCTCTATCTGTTCTTAGAGAGGTGATATATTCACCAGACTCCTTTTCAACACAAGCTTTAAAATTCTTGAACATAGCAAAAGCCTCAGATTTTTCATGTAAGAAGTAAATCCAAGTTTTACGAGTGAAATCATCAAAAAAACTTAGAATGTACCTCTTGTTGCTATTTGAATTTGGTTTAATGGGTCCACATATGTCTGCATGCACAAGTTGCAGCTTATTTGATGCTCTCCATAAACTCTTCTGGGGCATAGAGTCTCTATGTTGCTTGCCGGTTAAACACTCTATGCATATCCTTTTTGGAATCTTGAGTGAAGGCAGCCCATTAATCATCTTCTTATAAAAAAGTGTCCTAAGTCCCTTGTAGCTCAAGTGACCATACCGACAATGCCAAAGGTAAGATTCATTTTCTGACTCATTTTTGAAACACATAGACTCCTTTTGTACCATACCAGCTAGCACGAAGAACATTCTATTTCCACTCATATATGTCTGCATAATTAACCCTTTTGTAGGATGATATACCCTACACTTTCTATTTTGAATCAAAATAACTAAGCCTTTTTCTTGAAGCTGCCCTATGCTCAATAGATTATTTTTCAACTCAGGAATGTAGTAAACATCAGAAATTACCTGAGTAACACCATTAACTTGCATATGAACGCTTCCTTTTCCCATAACCGCCATTCTAGTATCATTTCCGAGTTTTACAGATTGCCTGAAGCTTTCATCCAAGTTTGTGAACCACTCCTTGATTCCACTCATATGATTGCTACAACCGGAGTCGAGAAACCACACTTCTTCCTTTTTGGCATGTTTGAGTTCAACATAAGACATCAATAAAAGCTCTTCTTCTTCTTCTCCTTCCAATTCAGCATAGTTGGCCATTCTCTCCCAATCTGGACACTCATATTGATAGTGTCCTAACCTGTGACATCTAAAACACTCAATGACAGCTTTGTTGATGGGTTGTCTTCCTCTTCCTCTACCTCGACCTCCTCTAAATACACCTCTACCTCTTCCTCTTCCTGCTCTATCTTCATGTGATACTTTTAGAACTTGCTCTTCTTCTCCATGGCTTCTCATCCTCTGCTCATGAACGAGAAGACAGCTCTGCAACTCGTCAATTGTCATCGTGTCTAGGTTGTTCTTCAATTGAACGTATCACATAATCGAATTTTGAGATCATTGATCTCAAAATTTTCCCAGTAATGATTGTTTCAGTCATACTTTCACCAAGAGCTTTCATTTTGTTAGCAATGGTTAGAGTACGAGAGAAATAAGCATTCACTGTTTCTCCTTCTTTCATATTAAGAATCTCAAAATCCCTTCGTAACGCTTGCAATTGTGCCCTTTTAACCCGGGTTGAGCCCTGAAATTTCTGCTTCATTGAATCCCATATACCCTTAGATGAATCTTTGTTAAGGATTGTTTCAAGCACATCACGAGGGATTGCTTGAAAGAGGTAATTTTTTGCCTTCAAGTCCTTCCATTTCTGCTCTTCAATCAATTTGTGTTGTGTCTCTGTCGGTTGTACTCCACCTGCCACAACCAATATTTCATTCTCAATGAGACCCCAATATTCTTTAGAACGGAGAAAATTTTCCATCAACATTGCCATTAGTGACCATCAAACTTGGGAATTGCGGGCTGCGTGAAACTACTGTTCCCATTTTCTGCCATTCTTCTACTTGAAAGAAAATGAGAGTTTCTCTTCTACGTTCACTGTTTCTCTCACAGTCACGGTGTTTTCTCACACTCACACTAAGGATCAGGCCTCAATAATGGAGCTCTGATACCAATTGTTGAAACTGAACACTGATATAAAATTTGGAGAGAATTCCTTATTCAATTAAAAGCAAACGGTTGGCTATATAGCCTTACAAATTGAAAACTAAACACAGTTGCAACTACTCCACGTTTACATGCCTATAACGTGGAATGAGTCACTAAGAAAAATTCTAATTCCACTTCTTAAAGAATAGGACATTATATAACAAACTGATAAACATAAAACAATTAAATATTAAATAATAACTGACTGTAAATCTAACAATCAGGAGACTGAGAATCATAGAAATAGAAAGCTGTGTCTACCGGAAAATCTTTGCAATCGTTATTGCATGCATATGGATAATCCCCTATAGTGGTTGGACCGTTCAGCTCGCATCTTGGCCGTTTAAAATACTCTTATGTGGTACCATAATCAAGTGGTTGATATTAGTGTAGATTAGACAGCATGACACAAACGGGAAACGGGAGCAGAGGATCCTTGCATACCGATCATGATCATGTCCAGCACCTAAGCCAACATGCTGACAAAATCACAAAGTTGACGATGCTTCTTATTTGATACACAAAAATAATAGGTTTACTTAATAGAGGATCTTGAAGAATAATTCCTTAGAATTTAAATTAAATGATAAACAAACATGTTATTGACTTATTATTGCCTGTGTCAGCTAGTGTGTGTCAATTGTCACCTTGCCTGCAATGCAACATTTTTTTACATATATAGCTTCATCCACTTTCCAATGTGATTATTCAACTTATGATAATACTTGACTGAATTCAACATTTAAAATTTTGCAGTTTATAAACTAAAGAACCTTGAGCATATCATCAGCTCGAAACATCACTCCTGTATGGAATCAGATGGAAGATATGTTGCACAAAGGTGAGCAGCCATATAGGCTTCAAAATTTAACAAAATGGTAGAAATTAATGTATGATTGTACAAGGTTGTGGTTGATACATGAGACGTATAGATGTGCAGTAGTTACAGGTGCAAACAAAGGTATTGGATTGGAGATAGTGAAGCAACTGGCGTCTTTAGGCATCGCGGTTGTCTTAACAGCGAGAAATGAGACAAGGGGAAGGGATGCCGTAGCAAAGCTCCATCAGATAGGTTTGTCAAATGTGGTATTTCATCAGCTGGATGTTTTGGATGCTCTCAGTATTGAGTCATTGACCAAGTTCATCAGGCAACAATTTGGCCGGCTTGACATTTTGGTTAGTGTCTGTCTATCTGCACGCTAGTATCTTTAAAGTCAAAATAAAATCGAGCAAATAATATGCTACAAACAGAAGTAAACTGATAGTTGGTTTTGTGAAGATTAATAATGCAGGAGCATCATGTGTAGAAGTAGATAAGGAGTGTCTAAAGGCCTTGAATGTGGATCCTGCAACTTGGGTAAGGTCATTTTACTGTTAAATTACCAGAGTTTATGAAATGGCACCTTTTATGACCTGTGGATGCAGTTGTCAGGTGAGGTTGACAACACCTTGTTTCAAGGTGTTATTGCACAAACTTACGAGAAGGCGGAAGAATGTTTAAATACCAATTACTATGGTGTCAAAAGAGTAACAAAGGCTCTCCTTCCCCTGCTACAATTATCATCTGCAAAGGCAAGGATAGTGAATCTCTCTTCTCTCAGGGGTGAGTTAAAGGTATAAAGCTGAGATCCAGCTGCAAAAGAAACATCACCCTCAATCTAAATGTTGATTGTAGATATCTTTTACAAATAATATGTTCAGTATGCTGTGTAGTGTGAAAATAAATAACCCCTGATTTGCTTAAACTTTTGGATATACTAATATGCATTTTATCCTAGAATATACCATTACTTGTATAAAGTATGTGTCTTATCATTATACCTCCACTAACGAAAAGACTCGTGATTGTGCAGAGGATTCCAAATGGGAGGATAAGAAATGAACTTGGGGCTGTAGAGGAACTATCTGAAGAGAAAATAGACACCATAGTAAAGAAATTTCTGTATGATTTTAAAGGAAATGCTCTTGAAGCTAATGGGTGGGGTATGATGCTTCCAGCATACAGCATCTCCAAGGCCAGTCTCAATGCCTACACAAGAGTTCTTGCAAAGAATAATCCTCGCATGCTCATTAACTGTGTTCATCCTGGCTTTGTAAGCACTGATCTCAACTGGCACAAAGGCACAATGACAGTAGATGAGGGTGCTAGAGGCCCAATCATGCTCGCCCTTTTACCAGAGGAAGGTCCTACAGGTTGCTATTTTGATTGCACTGAATTAGCAGAATTTTAAAGTTTGATGTTGCATTATAATTAATGGGACAAGTCATAATAAACCATATCCTTATGTTATTCAAAAATATTTATTGCCATAAAATTTAACCAATTCTGCCTACATTGATATATGTTCTCAGAATTCACAGAACAATAATTTTCCCTCAAGGAAATAAGTCCTGAATATCCACGATATCAGCAAGGACACCAGCTGCAGTTGTGTCGTTTCCAGCTCCAGCACCTTGAATAACCAGAGGCTGGTCACTGTAGCATCGAGTGTATACTTCCAACTGTCATTTACATTAACATACAAAATGGTCAAGCATTTGAACTTAGTGCTTCAGAAAGCCGAATTTGTACTACACGGCAAAGCAAAGAAATTGAGAATGAAAGCTTATTGTGCCAGGTCAAGCCTCTAAAGTGGAAAAAAATCTTTATTAAAAATACTAAACATCAAAAAGGAAAAAAAGAAAAGAAGCTTACCACATTATCACTTCCTCTTAATCTTCCTAAAGCAGAACTCTTTGGAAGCTCTTGAACACCAACTTTACACCTACAAAGAGAAGAAAAGTTATAATCAATACAAACGGTGTCAATGTACTTATAATTTAAAAATTTAAACATTGATTGTCACCAATGCAAAGATTGAATTGAACATTAAATATGAAGGAAGGAAAAAGATACCTTGGGCCCTCAATGATACATACATATCGCAGAACATTTCCATTTGATGCTGCCTTTTCAACCCTCTCTTGAATATCTTTGTCCAGCAACAAGAGTCCACGACCCAAAAAGTCATCAACGGTCATTACATCGGGGCCCATTTCTTTGGGATACAAGCTTTCAACCTGTGAAATATATAAAATGATTAACATAAGGGAAAAAAAGCTAATTAAATATAGGAAAGGTGAGACAGAGAAGTAAAATGTGAAAAATGGCATACAAACCTGAATGCTATCCATATTAATCCGACGTCCAAGTATTCTAGCAAGAATCAAAGCCTGTTTCAAATATTAGCCCAAAAAGCAGAATGTTTGTATTAGGATTTAAGGCCACTTTAAATTACTATTCATAATTGTTGAAATACAAGAGACTAAGAGACATTTGAATAAACCGTGTGTTTTGAAAAGCACTACGGAGACATTATTATATATAAATAGAATACAAGTAATTACATGATATAGTCGATGTGGGACTATTCTATATACAAATATTCTCAACACTATATATATATATATATATATATATATATATATATATATATATATTTACACATATCAACACTCCCCCTCAAGCTTGAGCATATAAGTCAAATGCACCAAGCTTGTTACATATATAGTTAGTTCTGGGGCTTCGTAGGGATGTTGTAAACACATCTGCCAATTGATCATTAGAGTTGACAAAGCTTGTGACGATGTCGCCTGACTCGATCTTCTCTCTGACAAAGTGACAGTCTATCTCAATATGTTTGGTCCTTTCATAGAAGACTGGATTTGAAGCAATGTGCAATGCAGCTTGATTATCACAAATAAGTGTCATTGGTCTTGCTTCTTCAATTTGAAGTTCCTTAAGCAACTGTTTTAACCAAATAAGTTCACATGTTGCCATTGCCATGGCCCTATACTCTGCCTCGGCGCTTGATCTTGCAACTACATTTTGTTTCTTACTTTTCCAGGAGATAAGGTTTCCTCCAACAAGTACACAATACCCAGAGGTGGATCGTCTATCAATGGGTGACCCTGCCCAATCAGCATCAGAGTATCCAATTATCTGGGTATGTCTTTTATCCTCATACACAAGACCTTTTCCTGGAGCACATTTGATGTATCTCAAAATCCGGATAACAGCATCCATGTGTTCTTGACAAGGGGAATTTAAGAACTGGCTTACCACACTGACTGCAAAAGAAATGTCCGGACGAGTGACTGTGAGATAATTCAACTTTCCAACCAATCTCCTATATCTTCCTGAGTCAGATAAAGGCTCCCCCTGATTGGGTAGTAGTTTAACACTTGGATCCATAGGAGTATCAGCTGGTTTAGCATTTAACAAACCTGTTTCTTCCAAAATATCCATAGCATATTTCCGCTGAGAAATGACCAGACCATCTTTAGATTGGGCTACTTCAATACCCAAGAAATAGCGGAGTTTACCAAGATCTTTTGTCTGAAATTGTTTCGAGAGATGTTGTTTCAACTGGAGTATTCTCTGCTGATCACTACCAGTTATGACAATGTCATCTACATACACAATAAGATAAATACACCCTTGGGGTGAGTGACGATAAAAAACAGAATGGTCAGCTTCACTACGTGTCATACCAAACTGTTGTACTACAGTGCTGAATCTGCCAAACCAAGCTCTCGGAGATTGCTTAAGACCATAAAGAGACCTGTGTAGCCTACAAACCATATTCGATGACTCCCCCTGAGCAACAAACCCAGGTGGTTGCTCCATATATACTTCCTCTTCAAGATCACCATGTAAGAATGCATTTTTGATGTCAAGTTGATGAAGAGACCAATGTCGAATGGCTGCAATGGCTAGAAGAAGTCTAACAGATGTCATCTTGGCTACAGGCGAGAAGGTATCACTATAATCCAACCCAAAAATTTGAGTGTATCCTTTGGCTACCAAGCGGGCTTTAAATCGATCAATCTTGCCATCTGGACCAACCTTCACTGTATAAAGCCAACGACAACCTACTAAAGATTTCCCATGGGGTAGAGGAACCAGTTTCCAGGTACCACTGCTTTGAAGAGCACACATTTCATCAATCATTGCTTGCCTCCACTCAGGGTGAGATAATGCTTCACCTAGAGTTTTAGGAATAGAAACAGAAGACAAAGAAGACAAACAAGTATACTGCAAAGGGGAAAGACGATGATAACATAAATCAATATAATGTGGGGAAGGATTTCGTGTTTGACGTATACCTTTTCGAAGGGCAATCGGAAGATCAGACTCAGGTTGCAGGACCGAATCCGGTGATGGCGAGAGCGTCGGAGGAGAGTCTGTAGTGACCTCAGGGACAGGTACGACTTCAGGGACAGGTACGACCGTAGTGACCTCAGGGATAGGTACGACTTCAGGGACAGGTACGACAGACTTTGGGTGACGACGCTGATATGTTTGAAGTGGGCGAGGAGTGGGGGGGTCAACCGTAGGGGTAACTAGTGGGTCAGGTTCCCTAGAATGATGGGGGATAATGACAGATGGGACTTCCGGAAGAGGTGTGGGAATACTTTCCTGTAGAGGTTCCGTAGTAACTTGGCTGGATTCGAAATATGGAACAGACTCGAAGAAGGTAACATCGGCGGATACGAGGTATCGTTGTAGAGTATGTGAGTAGCAACGATAACCTTTTTGGGATCGATGATAGCCAAGAAAGACACACTTTAGTGATCGAGCTGATAGTTTATCAAGACCAGGGGAGAGATTGTGTACAAAACACGTGGACCCGAAGACTCGAGGAGGAATTGGGTGGAGTGGAGAGTTTGGAAACAAGATTGAATGAGGGATTTTATTATTAAGGACAGATGATGGCATGCGATTTATGAGGTAACATGCCGTGAGCACTGCATCTCCCCAAAACCGGAGAGGAACATTACCATGGAGAAGTAGGGTCCGAGTGGTTTCTACGAGGTGCCGATTTTTGCGTTCGGCTACCCCGTTTTGTTGGGGTGTATGAGGGCAAGATGTTTGGTGCAAAATACCATTGGATGACATAAATGTTTGAAATTGTTGGGATAAATATTCACGTGCATTGTCACTTCTTAAGGTACGAATAGACAAACCAAATTGGGTTCTTATTTCTCGATAAAATTGTTCAAAAATGGAAAACAATTCAGATCTATTCTTCATTAAAAATAACCACGTGCAACGTGAAAAATCATCAATAAAGGTGACAAAATACCTAGACTCAAGAGTAGAGACAGTACGCGAGGGACCCCAAACATCGGTGTGAACTAAAGCAAAAGGGGACGAAGCTCGTTTGTTGACTCGACAGGGAAATTGACTACGAGTGTGTTTCCTTAATTGGCACGACTCACAATGTAAATTAGATACCTTCGATAAATTTGGCACCAACTTATGTAATTTGGAAAGACTGGGATGACCTAACTGAGCATGGATAGTGAGTGGAGAATCTTTGGTTGAGCATGCCTGAGATGACAATGAAAGGTAATAAAGGCCTTGAGACTCATATCCGACGCCAATCGTCTTTCCCGAACTCCGATCCTGTAGGGTAACATTATTATTAGTGAAGGTGATACTACAATCAAGAGAACGAGTTAAACGACTAACTGAAAGTAAATTAAATGGACAATTAGGTACATAGAGGACAGAAGTAACAGATAGAGAAGGTAGAATTTGAACAGTACCAATCCCTTCGGATCGAGTTTGAGAACCATTGGCCGAAGTTATAGTAGGTAAGAAACCAGAGGTAGAGAGGGAAGAGAACAAATTTTTATTACCAGTAACATGATCAGACGCACCAGAATCAAGGACCCAAGGTCGAAGAGGAGATGATTGAGAGAGGCAAACATATAAATTACCAGTGTGTGCTACCTTAGCAGTAGAATCTGAGTTCTGATAATTCTGATACCACCTGAGGAAATCATCGTAGTTTGGCGTAAAGTTCTGAGGAGTAGCCATGAGAAAATATCACGCGATCGATCGCTGGCCGGACGTACTGTCACGTGCGTTTCAGGTGGCGGCGCTGGATGCCCACGCGCAGAGACGGAGGTGGCGCGTGTGGAGGTTTCTGCCGATGAAAAAGTTTGCCAGAAGGTCGTTGAGAATAGCAACGACGGCGGCAGCTATGCGGTTATGACCGAAGAATTTTGAAAAGTGAGGCAAACCGGAGTGACAATACGGTTTGCAAAAAAAAAAAATTTTAAAAATTTCTCACCGGAAGACAGTGGGTCAACCGGGTAAAGCACGGCGAAGAAAGAATTGCCTCTTAGCAGGCTCTAGATACCATGTTGAAATACAAGAGACTAAGAGACATTTGAATAAACCGTGTGTTTTGAAAAGCACTACGGAGACATTATTATATATAAATAGAATACAAGTAATTACATGATATAGTCGATGTGGGACTATTCTATATACAAATATTCTCAACACTATATATATATATATATATATATATATATATATATATATATATATATATATATATATATATATATATATATATATTTACACATATCAACAATAATAATACATTCATCTTCATCCAAAAGTAGTGCAGAAAGTCCCGTGATAAGAAATGGTCAACTACAAAGTTGATAAACTCCAATATAACAACTTTGATAAACTCAAAACACAGCACAAGAATTTTGCTAAAATATGATACAGATTTGTGAGTTTTGGATAAAGCAGGAAGAACTGCAAAAGTAAATTTCGCAGAAGATAAAAAAAACCTTTCTAGCAACGTCCATTCCCCCAAGGTCGTCACGTGGATCTGCAACAAGACAGTACACAAATAATCCAAACGTTTAAAGGTAATTTATCAAAAACTAATTGTGTTGCAATGAGAAAATGGAGCCCACTGAATAATACACTTTCAAAAGTAGATGTCAGTAACCTGGTTCAGTGTACCCCAGACTTTTAGCAGCTCTAACAACTTGGCTCAGCGGCTTTCCGTCTTCAACCTCACTCATTACATATCCCAATGTTCCTAGTAAGAATATGCAGCGTAAATTCCAATATCAACATAACAGTACCTTACATTTATGTGGAAGACTGCCAAATATGAATATGTGATCAAGCAGAAAAAATAATATCTAAGGGATGTAATCATTCAACGATGAAAGATATCATACCACTCAAACTTCCAACAATCCGATGAACTGGATCACCAGATGAGATAATGCGATTCAGGGATGCTATCACAGGAAGACCAGCACCAACCTTAAAAAACATCACAATAAAATTCAAACCAATCATAGTTCCTCAATCCATAATTTTTCAATATTCCCATGCAGTCATAAAATTTTGATGGTATAGTTTCCTATTAGAATTGCAATTCTATTAATTGACAGCCTAAAAAATATACATGTCCCGTTTAAAGCGTATTTCTCATTTTGCTATCAAGACAAGTTCAAGAAATTGATCAAAAACAATGGATGGGATAAACAGGTGGCAGAATCAAAACAAGTATAATGACTCTGAGAACATGCATAGCATAAGATACATTTACACTTAAAGAAGCATACATTTTTGTTCCATAAGAACATACTAAAAGCAAAATGATTTGTAAATTTTTTAAAAGAAAGAAAATAAGGTAAAATCATTGTTACATTTCAAATTAAATTAAACTTTATATATCAGGTCCTTTTTCTTCTGATTTGGATTTCGGATATCCCATTTTTCAATGTACACATAAGAAAATGATCGAGTAAAACACAGACCTCCATGATCTTTCCCTCCTTATTTCTAGAAGATGAGATTATACCAAGATATTTAATAGGAGAGTTCCGATGACTTCATTTGATTATTATTCTTAAATAATTTAATTATTGTTCATAAATCATAACATTCGGAATTTTAACAAGGCAACTGCTTGCAGATTATAGATTCATGCAACATATCCAGAAGTTATGCAGACTCTAATTTGGTTACTTGAAATTAGAGTGAAGACATAAATACAACCAGTGGAATAAATTATAGAAACAAATTTGCAGTTTATATTCCTCTTTATTGAAAATCTATACTTTCACAACTATTTTTTATATAGTCCCATATCGTTGCAATAAATGTACATAAATCAGTAATCTAGTAAAAGCATGAACTAAAATCACTTACAGTTGACTCATGTCGGATTCGACGTGGATATTTCATAAGGTGTTCAAAATCCTCCTGTTCCATGTAAGGGTTATCATTTAGATGAGGCAACCACGGAAATAGAACAAAGAAACAAAGTAAAGCAGGAGAAATCAACTCTATCTTTTACTTAATAGAATAATTATAATGAAACTTTCTTTTAGGGAAAGTTCTAATATACCACTCTTTAACCTAAGGATCTGTGTAACTTTGGTCTCAAAACCTAAAAACAGGCAATACTAGAAACATTTTAATATCTACATAGTCATTCTTGTATTTGATTTTTAATCAAATGCAAACAGAGAAAGCAATATTCAGCAATATTCAGATCATGACCATTTCTTAGTGAATTTCATTTCTAGATTGGAAAAATTCACTTCAAAGAGGATCATAATAACACTTTGGTGCTGAAGCTTCAAAAACATGATATCATAATGACAAATTCTGTTAATAGTTTAACAGAAAATCAAAATTCCATACATTATAACGTTTTAGGGATCATGTTGCATTATTTTATTTTTTAAGACCAAAACTAACACGACCATAAATTAGAGGGGGTAAATCAGGTTTTCTTTTCCTCCTAGAATGTGTCAACAAGTGCCACTGGTTACAAGGGGTACAGTAAAATAAGACTTATCTACTTAACAATAATTATGTATTTCCTTTCCTATCCCCCATTTCAACAATTATTATGAAATATTTGTGATGATCTTACCATCGTAGATGTAAGAGGCTTTTTATTTGCCATAACAACACAACAACCCATATCAACCACTTGTTTTAGCACTGAAATAGTGTTGGAGCTGGCAGAGCAATCTACAAAGGCCAAACCTACATCGAAAAATTCAGATATAAAGTTGTTTAAGTGATTGCATAGACAAAACTTCACTCTCATTCAGAATTTACTTTAAAATCAGTCACATTAAGCAGGTAAAGCGTGACACAACGAAATCGAACACACCTGATTTTTTACCAAGTTGAGATGCAATGTCTAGAATCTTTTCCTGTGATTCCGGATGTGCAAATACATGACATTGTCCTTTCAATTAATTACAATCAAAGAGTAAGCATAAGAAACCACAAACATTAATATCACTACCAAGACAAGCTAGGCACACTAGCATAGATATCTACCACTGTCGGCGAGTTTCGATAGAGATTCTCCGGCATGCTTGAGCCTGCAAAGTTCTAACAATAAGCTATCATCCAAACCCTTATTCAATAAATCATCAACAACCGTCAGAGATTTACTATCACCAACTCCCACAACTCTCAACAAAAGTCCCTGCCAATCAGAATTCAAAACATCTATCAACAAAAACACATTTTTCATCGATGTCAGAAAAGGATCATACTTTACTGTGATCAATAGCTATATCAGAATCAAGTCGACAAATAGGAAGGTAAAGGGATGTTAGAAATACCTGTAAAGAGTGAAGAGAACGGCAAGAGACAATATGTTGGAGAAGGTGAGAACCAACTCCACCACAACCCATTAGAATCAAAGGAATAGTCTTCATTTTCTGAGTGAGTTTTTCGCTTAGAAATAGAAATTTAGGGCTTTTCTAATGGAAGAAGTTGTTGGTAGCAATGTAAGCAGAAACGAGAAATTTGATCCAATTTCCTTACAGATTACATACAGACAAAGGAATTTTCATTATCAAGACGAAGTGGCAAGACAAGAATAGTGAATGCAAAAGAATAATTTAGGTTTAATTACACGTTTGTCCCTATCTTATTTAATTTATAAAATTCGTCACCTATTTTAAATTTAAACTGTTTCTTCTTATATTTTTCACAAAATTTATGATGTTTTTCATTTTTTTTAAATGATAATTTTCTTATAAAACATGATAAATTACCATTTATAAATATATTGTTCAGTTTTATAAATAAAAATAGGGTAATGTTAACTTGTGCTCCAAAGGTACAAGTTAAGATACTTATTTATAGTAAATTTGTATTGAAAAAACAATTTAAAAGTTAATTTTATACTTTAATTAAAATCTGTACACAATTTTCAAGATAATATTTCTTAATTTAGTTCTTAACTTGTGTCTAAAGGGCACAAGTTAACATTACCCATAAAAATATAAGTTAAAAAATAAATATCTCATCAATTTTCTATAAAAAAACGTCAAAAAATAATTAAAGTTATTTAAATTTAAAATAAGTAGCCACTTTTGTGAATTAGATAAAATAGAGTGAACAAAACTATAATTTACTCTATTATTTATTGAAGTTTATACACAAAATCATACAAAGAAAGATAAAAAAAATAACAATCTTAAATATGTTTTGTTTTATAATAATAAAGAAAATAAAAAATATATTATTCTCTTCGGTCCTTTTTATAAGAGAAATGTGAGATATTTGATCGAACTCTAGTATGGTCAAAGTCTGTTCGCGAGTAATGCGTGTTGTAGTCGAAGTTTGTTCTAACATGCATTAGTCAATGTTGCTAGGGTTGTTAGCATGTTGAATTGGGCCTTGCTTGTAAGCCCAATTGTTTAAGTTAGTTTGTACCCTAAGTTAGCTTGTAATGGGTAATTGTTAAAAAGCCTATTAGGTTAGTGTGCTATTTTATTATAAATAGGATGCTAGTTTCTCAATCTTGAGAATAAGGAAAAATAGGAAGATAAAATCCTAATTTCAAGGGAGAGAGGTTATTTTGTTATTCTTGTATACTTGTAATCTTGTTCTAAGAGAAAGGAAAGAATAACAGTTTAATAACCAATCCTTGTTGTTCCTTGTTGCTTTCTTCTTTATTAACCCTAACTCTTGTGTGTTTCTTGATAAGAAAACGTTTATACTTTGTTTAAAGGTATCCGATTCACAACAAATTGGTGCAGTGAGCGTGGAGAAGATGCCTTCAATAAAGTATGAGATTGAAAAGTTCACCGGAGTGAACGACTTCGGTCTGTGGCGCTTGAAGATGAAAGCCCTATTTGTTCAGCAGGGTTGTTTGGAAGCGTTGAAGGGTGAGGCAGCCATGGACGCTGCGTTAACGGCAAAAGAAAAGACGAGCATGATCGAGAAAGCCCACAGCGCAATATTGTTGAGCCTTGGTGATAAGGTTCTTCGACAGGTATCAAAGGAGACTACAGCATCGGGATTATGGGTGAAACGTGAAAGTTTGTACATGACCAAATCTCTGGTGAATCTACTCTACCTGAAGCAAGCTTTATATTCATTCAAGATGAGTGAAGACAAAGTGTTGGCTGAACAGTTGGATATGTTCAACAAGCTGATTCTTGATCTTGAAAATATTGATGTGAAGATTGAAGATGAAGATCAAGCACTGTTGCTGATGTGTGCTTTGCCCAGAACACATGCTCACTTTAAAGAAACTCTCTTGTATGGAAGGGAGTCCCTGACCTTTGAAGAAGTTCAATTAGCCTTGTATTCTAAGGACTTGAACGGACGAAAGGAGCATAAACCTTCGACAGTGGGCGAAGGTTTGGCCGTTAAGGGAAAATTCTTGCGAAAGGATGGTAAGTTCGACAAGAAGAAAGGTAAAAGTCAACAGAAGTCTTATAGTGGCGAAACATCTAGTATTCGATGTTATCACTGTAAGAAGGAGGGTCACATAAGAAAGGTGTGCCCTGAACGCCTGAAAGATCATGGAGGTAATGGCAATGCAGCCATTGTTCAAGATGACTTCGACTCATCTGATGTTCTTGTGGTTTCAAGTGGCGACTCGAGGATAGAATGGATTATGGATTCAGGTTGCACTTGGCACATGACTCCAAACAGAGATTTGTTCGAGGAGCTATGTGATCAAGATGGTGGATCTGTGCTGCTAGGAAACAACAAATCTTGCAAAATTGCAGGTATTGGATCTGTGAGATTCAAGCTCCATGATGAGTCAATAAGGTTATTGACTGAAGTCAGGTACGTACCTGACTTGAAGAGAAATTTGATTTCTCTTGGTGAATTTGACAGAAAAGGATATGTTTTTCAAGGAGAGAAAAGTATCCTAAGAGTCATGAAGGGGTCGAAGGAAGTCTTGAGAGGCGTGAAGAAACAAGGCTTGTATACCCTTGAGGCTGAGGTTGTAAGTGGTTCGACAAATGTTGCATCCACGAAATCTATGTCGAAGACAGAATTATGGCACATGAGATTGGGCCATGTCAGCGAAAGAGGCCTGGTCGAATTGGGGAAGCAGAACCTGCTAGGAGGCGACAAAGTCGAAAAGTTGGAATTTGTGAATCTTGTGTATTTGGTAAATCATGTAGGGCGAAGTTTAACAAAGGCAAGCAAAGAACACATGGATCCCTGGATTACATTCATGCTAATCTTTTGGGGCCTGCAAGGAATCCTTCACACTCAGGTGCAAGGTATTTTCTATCCATCATTGATGACTATTCCAGAAAGCTATGGGTATTCGTTCAGAAGACGAAGGATGAAACTTTTGAGAATTTCAAAAGTTGGAAGATTCTAGTCGAAACTCAGACTGGCAGAAAGGTTAAAAGGTTGAGAACCGACAATGGCCTTGAATTCTGCAACCAAGCTTTCGACAGTTACTGTGTTGGGTCTGGGATTGCAAGGCATAAGACCGTAGCAGGTACTCCTCAACAAAATGGCTTAGCTGAGAGATTCAATCGAACAATCCTTGAAAGGGTTAGATGCATGTTGGTTAGTGCTGGATTGAAGAAGGTGTTTTGGGCGGAAGCTGTTTCGACAGCAGCTTACCTGATAAATAGATGTCCTTCGACTGCCTTGGGAATGAAGACACCTGAAGAAGTTTGGTCGGGACATCCACCTAATCTCGACAGACTGAGAGTATTTGGCTGTGTGGCCTACGCTCATATTAGGCAGGACAAGGTCGAACCTAGAGTTCTGAAGTGCATGTTCATGGGATACCCTGAAGGAGTTAAAGCTTATAGGCTATGGTGCCTGGAGCCAGGTCACAGGAGGTGTATCACCAGTCAAGATGTAGTTTTCAATGAAGCAGAGATGGCTTTCAAGAAAACTGATGATGCTGACGAAGAGCTGGAACAAGGAGAGATTCCTGTTGAGGTGGAGCATGTTGATGTTGGATTACTTACCCCAGATCAAGTCGAAGAAGACGCAGAAGATGTTTTCGAAGATGAGGAGACTGATAATGACTACCTGCTAGCAAGAGACAGGTCGAGGAGAGTCATCAAGCCACCTCAGAGACTTGGGTATGCAGATCTTATAGCTTATGCATTAATCTCTGTTAGCGAGGTTCTAGATGAAGAAACTAGAGACTATAAGGAAGTTATAAGGAGTCGAAAGAAGACTCAATGGCTGAAGGCCATGGATGATGAGATGAAATCTCTTCATGATAAAAACACCTGGGAACTAATAAAGAAACCTGCTGGAGCCAGGTTAGTCAGCTGTAAATGGATTTTCAAAGTTAAGGAAGGAATCGAAGGAGTGACGTCGAAGAGATACAAGGCAAGATTGGTTGCTAGGGGGTTCACTCAGAAAGAAGGTATCGACTTTAATGATGTGTTCTCTCCTGTTGTGAAGCACAGATCCATTCGAATGTTGCTTGCCATGGTGGCCCAGTTCGACCTTGAACTGGAACAGATGGATGTGAAGACTGCGTTCTTGTATGGTAATCTAGATGAAACAATCCTGATGAGGCAACCTGAAGGGTATGTCGAAAATGGGAAGGAAGATTATGTGTGCAAACTGAATAGATCTTTATATGGACTGAAACAATCTCCTCGATAGTGGAATAGGAGATTCGACAAGTTCAGGGCACACATAAGTTTCATCAGAAGCCAGTTCGACCGTTGTGTTTACCTCAGATTTCGACCGGGTAATTCATTTGTTATTTTGTTGCTCTATATGAATGATATTCTAATAGCAAGCAACAATGTCAAAGAGGTAATGAGGGTGAAGGTTGAACTCAATAAAGAGTTCGAAATGAAGGATCTGGGAGTTGCGTCCAGGATTCTTGGGATTGACATAGAGAGATAGAAAACATTCGAAATTATGCTTATCTCAAGAGGCATACCTGCAGAAGGTTCTCGAAAAGTTTGGTATGTCGAATTCAAAGCCTGTTGTGACTCCAACAAACCCTCAATTCAAGCTGAGTATAGATCAGTGTCCCAGCACTGATGTTGAAAGAACTTATATGAATAGCATTCCATATGCTAACATAGTAGGTTCTTTGATGTATGTTATGGTTTGTACTAGACCCGACATAGCATATGCAGTAAGTCTTGTAAGCAGGTACATGGCGAATCCTGGAAAGGCTCACTGGCAAGCATTGAAGTGGATTTTAAGGTACATAAATGAGTCTCTAAATAGATTCCTAATTTATGGTGGAGCCTTGGGTGAAGATAGTAAAGCAGCAATTGATTGATATGTCGACTCTGATTATGCAGGTTGTATGGATTCCAGAAAATCTATCTCTGGATATGTGTTCACTATGTTTGGGACAACAATCAGTTGGAAAGCAACACTTCAGAAGGTCGTTGCCCTATCAACCACTGAAACGGAGTATATTGCCCTAACTGAAGCTGTGAAGGAAGCATTGTGG